TTGCCAAGGCCTGAGGTTCAATTCCCAGCACCCACATGAAGACTCTCCATCTCCTTAGGTACCACACTTGCATGTGGAGCATAGACATATATGCAGGCAAAGCACTTAAACACACAAAATAAGATAAATCTGAATTTTTTTTAAAATATATTTTCTTTTTAAACTTAATTTTATTTATATATTTATTTATTACAATTGATTCACTTTGTGTCCCTGCTGCAGCCCCTCCCTTGTCTCACCCACCCTCCCCTCCTCTTCTCCCCCTATGCCCTTTCCCTAGTCCCCTGATAGGGGAGGGCCTCCTCCACTTCTATCTGACCCTAGCTTATTGGGTCTCATCACGACTGGCTGCATCATCTTCCTCTGCATCATCTTGCCTTCCTGGCAAGGCTGCACCCTGCAGGGGGAGGTGATCAAAGATCCAGCCGCTGAGTTCATGTCAGAGACAACCCCTGTACCCCTTACTAGGGAACCCACTTGGAAACTGAGCAGCCAATGGGCTTCCTTTGGACAGGGGTCTAGGTCCTCTCCATGCATAGTCTATAATTGGAGTATTGGTCTCTGCGGGCTCCCCTGGGCTCTGTTGGTCTCCTTGTGGAGCTCCTGTCCCCTCCAGGTCTTTCTGTCTCCCCCTTCTTTCTTAAGATTCTCTGCCCTCTGCCCAAAGTTTGGCTATGAGTCTCAGTATCTCCTTCTTCACCCTGGTGGGTAGAGTCTTTCAGAGGTCCTCTGTGGAAGGCTCCTGTCCTGTTCTTTGTCCTCTACTTCCCTGGTGACTAAGGATGTTGAGCATTTCTTTAAGTGTTTTTCTGCCTTTCAGTGGAATACTACTCGGCTATTAAAAACAAGGAAATCATGAAATTTGCAGGCAAATGGGTGGAATTAGAAAAGATCATCCCAAGTGAGGTAACCCAGAAGCAGAAAGACACAAATGATATGTACTCATTTATAAGTGGATATTAGCCATATAATATAGGATAAACAATACTAAAATCTAAAGCCCTAAACAAGCCAAACAACAAGGAGGACACTAGGAAAGATGCTTAATCCTCATTCAGAAGGGCAAGCAGGAAAATATTTTGAGGCAGTATTTATTAAATCTAGATTGTGAACTGCTTCAGCTTTATATAACTTAGCGTTCCGTTAGCATGTGGTAATGAACGAATGATTAATTTGTTTGTAAGCTGCTGTTCTTTGGCTTTCAGCCAAGGGTGAGATGCTGGACAACATGGTAAATGTGTCCCAAACCAAACCTAGTTAATGGTGCATTTGCAAATCCTTGGTTTGATGGTGTGCAATGTAAATTAAGTCATCGTTTACTTTTATTCCTAAGTTTTCACTTAAGGCAACTGATCATGAGTAAGGTATAGCTGTATAGCTGTGTATGTCCATTCATCTAATGTATTTGTATGTGCACATACAAGAAGAAACTCTTAAAAGGTAAAATAATTCACATCATTAGAATGTTTTATTAAGCGGGATGGAGCTATAACCGCATCAGGTTCTTTGTATTAGATCAGTGGTTCGCAACTTGTGGGTCGCCATCTTTTTGGGAATTGACTGACTCTTTCACAAGGTTGACATATCAGATATCCTGTATGTCAGATATTTACATTATGATCATAACAATAGCAAAACATAGTTATGAAGTAGCAATGAAAATAATTTTATGGTTGGGGGTCACCACAACATGAGGAACTGTATTAAAAGGTTGCAGCATGAGGAAGAGTGAGAACCACTGCATTAGAGTCTATAACTTTGCCAAGAAAAAGAAGAAAAGAAAAACATAAAAACCCATAAAATCCTCTTTATCATGCTTCCCATTTGGGGCTAGCCTCTGGAACAGATTGGTGGCGCTGTCTTAGGCATACCTCTGCGATGAGCAGCTGTTCCTTCACCTGAGAACCCCTGTTTGCAGCTCTGCTCAGCCCCATCCCTATCAAAGACACAGGAGGCAGCCAAGTCCAGGGACATTTCTTCTGTTGTGTAAGCAGGGCCACCAGTTTTTAAATAACATTTTGTTATTATGCTTCATTCACATGTCATAAAATCCTTATATAAAATACACAGCTTGCTGGCTTTTAGTATATCTGTGCATGGAGCTGTATGGCCATCATTACCATCTAATTTTAGGACACTTTATCACTTTAAAACCTGCTCAAAATCTGAAACTTTTGTGTTCCAAAAGATACCATTAAGAAAGAGGAAAGAAAGAAAGAAAGAAAGAAAGAAAGAAAGAAAGAAAGAAAGAAAGAAAGAAA